GGTTAGGGCTAAAGGTTTTCTAGAAAGGTTAAGAAGTCTGTTTCCACATGTTCCCCAAACAACTATATACTCCACAAGGTATTAGGGTCAACAGAGTTATTAAGACATTGTTATGGGTTGAATTATGCCCCTAAATATATATTGAAGTCCTAACCCATGGTACCTATAAATGTCTTTATTTGGAAATAGGGTTTTTACTAATGATTATGTTAGAATGATATTACTAGGTTTGGCCTTAATCAAATACAACTTGTGTCTTTATAAAAAGGGGAATTTGGACAGACAGACATGTGCAAAGGGAAGACCATAGAAAGACTCAGGGCGAACACCATCTACAAGCCGAGGAACGCCCGAGGCGGCCGGAAGCTAGGAGACAGGCATGGACCTACCCTCCTCCGAGCCCACGAGAGGAACCAACCCTGCCGACCTCCTGATCAGAACCTCGGCCCTCCAGAGCCGAGACCGCACATCACCAGTGGTAACCTGGTAGAGCAGCCTTAGGAGACTCGCAGCGTCACGAACATAAATCTGACACTGCATGCCATCACTCATGGCTCAAAGAGGCTTCAGTTAAAAAACGCACCAGTTCTTCCATACTTACTTGCCTGAACAAAATGTTTTTGTACTAGTACAACTGGTATTGTTATTCAATTTTTCTGGCACTTGTGGGAATTGAGAGAGTAACCAGCCTAATCAGGAATAAAAAGAAAAACACACTTTCTATGAAGAACAATATAGTTCCCATGTCCTAACACACAAGTGATTACAGGGACTGTCATGCCTAGTAACGTAAAATATTGAAATAACAGTATCCTGTTAAAACGAGCTTATTATATTTCTCAGTGTGCCCAAAAGCAAAATTAAATTTTATGATGAGAACTATACTGGCTATTCCAATTTACAAAATTGTTTAAATATGAAGTCTTAAATTTAAGAGGCACATTTTAAAACTAGAGAGAACTCAGGGAAAAAATGCCATCATCTATAATAATCAATTTCATAATCACTATCAGACTGCACATAACATACATTTTTCTGTCATAATAATAGTTAAGGCACAGTCCAGAAATCATAATATATAGACAGTTGTTCTTTTTTAATGGTTCATTGTGGTTGCTTCTGATCTTCCGATATTATTAACATTACTGTGTTGAATATCTTCCTTTAAATTTTTTCCCATTTTAAATGACCCCCTTAGACCAGATTCCTGGAAGTGGGAGCTATACCAAAGAGTACTTTAATGGCTAGGGTGGAATTGTTTTCTAAATGGTTCATATCAATTTATAATGCTACAAAACTTAAGAGTAATGATTTCTCTCTGGCAGCTATAGCAGGCCACAAAGAGACGGTGGGCCAGACAGACTGTTGAAGAAATTCCAGCAAATACATTCGAAGGTGGAACATCAAAAGGAGAACTAGAGTTCTAGAATGCCCTAATCATAATCTAGAAATTACTTACTTTTTTAACACTTCAAGGAAAAAAACCTGAATTCTTGCTCTAGTTAGCTCTCCAGTTATCTACAGGAGTATTTTAATATATCCCAGGAGGCCAAAGTATTTTCTACGCATCTCTTGTGATGAATGAAAACTAAACAAGCCAAAACCGGTTTGGCTCAGTGGATAGAGCATCGGCTTGTGGACTGAGGGGTCCCAGGTTCGATTCCGGTCAAGGGCATGTACATGGGTTGCGGGCACATCCCCAGTGGGGAGTGTTCAGGAGGCGGCTGATCAATGTTTCTCTCTCGTCGATGTTTCTAACTCTATCTCTCTCCCTTCCTCTCTGTAAAAAATCAATAAAATATATTAAAAAAAAAAAGAAAACTAAACAAAAGGAACAGGTTAAAAAATAATCTCAGACATGCACAACCTCTGAGGGTCCTAGCAGAGTCTCTGAGACCGGCACCAGCACCGCCTCTGTCATGTGCACATGATGGATCCCTGACTCTCAGGCTTTTATTCACACGGTACCACCTGAGGACTTTTGGGTTATGGATGATTTCTACAGGAAATATACACATCTGTACAGCCATTTCCAAGTAGAGAATTAATTTGGACTTGGCTCGAGTAAAAGTCTCTAACATGAATATCAGGCTGCAGCAGAAGGGCCTCCCGCGGGAGTCATTATCTTACCTCAGCTACCTTTTCATTTGCCATTTCCAGCTGAGAAAGCAGCTCTTGGGTATGAAGTTTCTGCCGACTCAGCTCACTCCTATTAATGAAGGGAAGGAAGGAGGAAGGGAAGGAGGGAGGAGGGAGGAGGGAGGAAGAAGGAGGAAGGAGGGAGGAGGGAGGGAGGGAGGGAGAGATTGTTTAAAAAAAATGAACAAGTAGAATCCTTATTAGTGAGATACATGTTCATGTTTCTGTGTGTAAAATAAAGTTTCTTATTAATAGACCACATCTAAAGGACTCATTCATTTCTTTATAAAATATATTTTGGAGGTTGATTGTACAATAATGTGAATACACTTAACACCATTGAATTGTACATTTAAAAATGGTTAAGCAGAGAGAAACCAAGATGGCGGCATAGGTAAACACCTGAAATTGCTGCCTCGCACAACCACTTCAAAAATACAACTAAAAGACAAAATGGACATCATCCAGAACCACAGGAAGGCTGGCTGAGTGGAAATTCTACAACTAGAAGGAAAGAGAAAAGCACACTGAGACTCAGAGGAGGTGTGGAAGTAAAGTGCAGAGGTATGGAGGCGCACTTGGAAAGGGCTGGCAACTGAGGACATGGTTGTCTTTTACAATCGGGAGGGACTCACAAGCTCCTGACGGCTCTGAACGCCAGTTCCGGGTGAGTCTCTGGGGACCCAGACTCATACGGGGAGAAACTGGACTGTTTGTCTGCTTTTAAGAGAGAATCTTAAAAGCAGCAAGAGAAAACTCGAGGGTGGCTTTCAGAGGTGCTTGCAGCGATTACTGCAGGACACTGAGACCTGGGGCTTCTCAGGGTAGGACTGAGGATCAGCCATAGCTGCTTGCTCCGCCCTGTTGATTCCCTGACACCCCGCCCCACCCAAGCTGTGTGCAGAG